TTGATATTTAACCATTAAATATTATCTTAGTTGTAGTTTTTCCTAGATATACTTTATCATTTCAATGAACTTACTGTCAAATCATTTATTAAAAATTATATATGCATAGTCATGCATATGTATAAGTACGTATATGTTTATATATGTGTATTAATGATGCATATGGATTCAGAAACTATACCCTGTTTCTATTTTATAGGTGGATAGGTAAATAAAGAGATGCTGAACGGGGTGAAAGGACATGGGAGTTGCTTGAACTGTTCTTGCAACTTTTGTGAATTTTAAAATTATTATCCACACTTTAAAAAGAAGAGAAGGGGGGAAGGACCGATGGAAAGGTATATATGTGTGGCTATGCGTATTCATTTTCCTACCGATCCTACTTAGGTTGTTTCCAGTTTTCAGCTACTACAAACAGGGCCGCTGCTTATGGTCCTGTAGTTACTCCCTTCTGCGGTGCCTATTACCAAGCGAGCGACTGACGCTGCAATCCAGCCCCCAACCCAGCCCACCAAACCAAACTGCATCCGCACTTAGGAAGGATCGCTCTTTTTTTAAGCCTAAAAATACTACCTGTTTGTCCCGCTGTGCATGCATGAGGCTGCTTCCACCACCAGGGGGCACCTTTTATTAATTTCGACGAAGGAGCCGTACAGCTTAGAGAGGTCTTAATCATATACACATTTTTTTTTTTTAATGCTGCAGTCAACATCCTTACTGGAATTGCTGGTTGGTCGGGCATGTATGTCATAAACTTTAAAGGGATTGCCACATTCATCTCCAGTTTCGTTGTACACCGTCACAAGCATTTTGTGAGAATTCTCATTTCCCCATATCCCTTCAACACTTGATGCTGGCATTATGTTTACTTTTGCCAGTCTAAGAGTTTTGAAGTGGGACCCCATTTTTGTTCTATTTCAGGTCTGTCTGGGAGCTTCCTGGTTGGTGAACATGTGGGGATTTGGGGAGAGTGGCGCGTTCTGAGAGGGCCTGGAAGCTCCACGCCCCTTCCTACAGACCCTGCCCTCTGCATCTCTTCCCTCTGGCTATTCCTGAATTATAGCCTTTGATAATAAACCAGTGATGTCGTGCTCAGAAAAGACCATGTGAGGACACAGCAAGAAGGTGGACATCTAGAAGCCAGGGAGAGAGCCCTCAGGAGAAACCAAATCTGCCCGCCCCATGATCTGGAACTTTCAACCTCCACAACTGTGAGAAATAAATGTCTGGTGTTTAAGTTAAAACACACACACACACATCCCCAACTCTGATTACTAATGTGATTGTGCGTCTTCTCAAATGTGCCTCACTTGGAATTGATTGTCCATACATCTTTTGGATATCTTCCATTTGCCCTTCTGTAACTACTCTCCGCCACCCTACTCTGTGCCCAGGAGGCTGACATTTTGGGACTGCACGAATGACTCCCTTGCCCTCTGGCTCCTGGTTGAGGTTGTTGAGTTGTTGAATTGTTGAGATCGCTGGGTTCCAGTTGAGTTCGGCCAATGAGAGAGCTTCATCTCCATCAGATGGAGAGGTGGCCGTGGATGAGTTTCTTAACCAAAGACCACACATGCGCTCCAGGGATTCTCTTTAATGTTTATTTTAAAATTATTATTTATTGTATTGAAGTATGGTTGACACACAATGCTACACTAGTTTCAGGTGTACAACATAGTGATTGGACAAGTCTGTGCGTTATGCTGTGCTCCCCACCATCTGTCCCCATACAGCGCCATTACAGTACCACTGACTACATTCCTTATGCTGTGCCTTCCATCCCCGTGACTTATTCATTCCCAAACTGGAAGCCTGGACCTCCCACTCCCCTTCACCCATGTTGCCCAACCCCCCCCCCTCCTCTGGCAACCATCAGTTTGTTCTCTGGATTTAGGGGTTTCTGCCTTTTTTGTTTCTTTGTTCCTTTGTTTTTTGGATTCCCCATGTAAGTAAGATCATATGGTATTTATCTTTCTCGGTCCGACTTATTTCACTCAGCATAATACTCTCCAGGTCCATCCTGTTGTGGCAGGCATTCTCTTTCATAGCTTTTGGGTTCGGATAACCACTCCCTGCACTTACTCCTTCATGCTTTGCTGGGAGGTCACAGCTCCCCACCATTGCTAGCCCCAGGGCATCTCAAAATGTCTTGTGGGTGTCAGTTTTAGTCAGCTATTGCTCCAATAACGGTATAACAGTACCCTGTTCTTCTTGCTCATGTGCTCTGGGCTGTCTGGGGCCCTTCCACGGCAGGATGCAATTAGGGTGGGCTTGGCTCTGGGCTGCAAATGGTGTTCACAACTGCTCCACGTGAATCACTGGGTAGTGCAGCGTGAAGGATCAGCAACTATCTGGGGCCAGCTCGTCTCTGAGCAATCACAGGGGGGCAAGAGGACCAGCCAAACCACACAAGCACATTGACATCCTGTTTACCTCATGTCCACTCACATCGCACTGATAAGAGCAAGTGCATGACAAAGCCTAGGTTTAGAGGAGCGGGTATGTAGCGAGGGGAGTGAAAATTTGCAGAGCAGTGATCCAACCACAATTTCCTCTAACCATACCCACACCATTTCATAGTCCCTTCGTTTACATCTCCTCTGTGGCCCCATTTGCGTGTACCACCCTTTTCTTGTCGGGACCCTAATTAACACCATATCCTCACAAGTTTCTGCAGATTTTTCCAGTTTTTAGGGACATGCAATAACCCCCTCCCATTTTAGTACAGCCTTTTTGCTTTCCTTTCTTGGGTGGGTCCTCCTCCCCAAAGGCCATGCCTTATCTCTGGCACCAACCCTTTCCCACCAACAACTTAGTGTGTTTATTTCTATAGTTTTCTTCATACCCAGCCAATCGTGTGTATGGGTGTGCGTGCGTGGGCGTGTGCATTCATACACCAGCGTTTTTGAGTTCAGGTCTATTTAACGGCAAAAACACAATGCAATTCTCCACATATTCTGTTTCTTACTTAAAACCTTGCAAAAATCTCCCCAAATCGGCTGGCATAGATCTTTCTTATTCCTTGAAAATGCTGAATTATTGGGGCGCCTGGGTGGCTCAGTCGTTAAGCGTCTGCCTGCGGCTCAGGTCATGATCCCAGGGTCCTGGGATCGAGCCCCGCATCAGGCTCCCTGCTCGGCAGGAGTCTGCTTCTCCCTCTCCCACTCCCCCTGCTTGTGTTCCTGCTCTTGCTGTCTCTGTCAAATAAATAAATCTTTAAAAAAAAAAAAAAAAGAAAATGCTGAATTATGTTCCATCATGCTGGCCCCATTCCCCTATTGGATGAGTGAAGTTAATGCTACGAAGTTCTGCCCAGAGCCCACCTTCAGGACGAAGGTTCTCCTTCCCCCTGGCTGCTAGGAGCCCAGGCTGCTGAGAGCCACAGCTGAACCACTCCCCAGAAATTACTATGGGTTGAAGGGAGCTGCCTTGCCCAGGGGTACCCTGTGGCCTTCAGGTAAGACCATATCCAATGACCAGTCGGTGTGGAGGTACCAAGGCCTCAGCCTCAACTACTCAATCCCTAACTTTTCTGAACGGCTCTTCCAGCTTTAGATATCTCTGTAGAATCAGCCGAATCTGCTATTGTAACTGCTTTGTCTCTTTAAATCCTCCCTCTGCTCAATCCTGCTTCCCTCCCTCCCTTCCAAGTGTTATGAGATGTTTTTGAGAGAACTACAAGTGTATACTCCAAGTGTATTTGGAGCTAGAAGTGGTCCTAAGAGCAGGTTATGAAATAGGATTTTGGAGCACGGTTACCTGCCAGCTAGGTATGAGGACTAGGTTTGAGGACTCCATCACTGGCAGTAAGTGAAGTGCTGATAACCCATGATGTCCTAGTGATGCCACTGTCAAAACTGTCACTAGTGGTAACCAGAGACAGGACACCAACGGAAGTAAATTTACTGGCAGGTGCAATGTCTCGGGTTGACTGGTTCAGAGGAAGTAGTGATTATTCGTGATTGTGCAAAGCCATGGTTGGAACAAGAGGCTGCTATAGCACTGGAGAAAGACAAGGAAAGGCTAGGGGTGACTAATACCAGTCTAACCTAGGCTCCAAAGCCAAGGGTCCCACCTGCAGGCAGAAGGCAGTCTGAGGACCGGCCTGTAAGCATTAGTCCTCTTTGCATGCTGCTCAGAATCCAGTTTTGTTTTCTACAATGTTAGGCCAACGCATGTACAAGCGAAGCTCGGCCCTTTCCCACTCTCTTCCTATGTTCTGGAAAAATCACCCCAATCAGAAATAAGAGGGTGATTCCATGAACTTTTAACATACCAGAGTGCTGCTTTATAAGCCCACCTTTTCTCTGACTCTAACGGGATACTTAACTTTTCCAGCCATAGACGAGCTAGCAGAGGCTTTTCTCAGCACTGTGGATTTCAGAGGTTAGCATGCAGAGAACAGTAAGAAGTGACAGTTTCCCTTTTCTGCAGGAAAAGAGAAACTTTCAATTTTATTGTCCTGTAGCTCATAAGCCAGGTTTGTGCTAAATTAACAATCACCCTTCTGCCTCCCCTTCTCTACCACACAATCAAGGCTTTATAAAAGCAAATGCTCTTTCTAAAGAACCTGTCATTCTGCTGATTTCCCTGAATAATGGATTAAATAAAATCTGACAGGTGTTCAGCAACAAATGTGTGGGATTCATGATTTGTCACAGAAAAGTGTTGTGCCTTCAAGCAGCTTTTTGGAAAGGACGAGATGTTTTCCAGAAGCCTCCCGGCTGCCTTTTCCTGATACCCCTTGGCCAAACTCAGATGGAGGTCCACTTCCTGAGGGGCATGGAGCTGACTGGACTGGAAGAGTCGGCATCTGGGCCCGAATGACGGCCAGTGGGGTCTCCGTCCCCAGGACCACCGCAGGACCACCTGCTCTGTCTCAGGATGCCAGATTCAACATCAGCCACAGAAGGGCAGGGGACAGGCCTGCTCTCAACGAGACACACGGACCCGGCCGACTGGCCCGGGGAGGCAGAGGTGCCACATTCACCGAGACTCAGTTTCTTTTTACTAGCGTCTGACATTTATTGAAAAGAAGGAAAAGACGTTTGTCCAGGTAGTGTAGAAGAGCTGGGCAGAGTGCAGGGCTTAATTACCGTGTGGGACAAAAGGCACACATCAGAGAGACAGCTGCGAATTGAGAAGAGAACTGGGTTCTGGGCAAAACGAACAGGTCCACAGGAGAAAGAAAACGAGTGGCTGGATTTGGCTGCCAGGCACCCCTGGGACCTGGCGGCCACCTGGCAGGAGCAGAAGAGGTCTCTGGGAGGAGGGGGGGAACGGGTCCCGCTGCAGGCGAGAGGCTGGCCGGCCCCTCCGGGGGTCGGGGGTGGCGAGCTGCTGGAGTCACCGTCCAGGGGCCGCGGCCCGCTCAGATACTTCCCGGCTGAGCCCAGATCGCCGCAGGCCGCAGGCCGTCGGTGGCGCGCGGTGGACGGCGGCGGCAGCGCGGGTCTCCGGGCAGCGCGCTGCAGGCCTGGCGGTCAGTCTGGCGGAGGCGGCCCGCGGCGGCCCGGCTGTAGGTGGTCTGCCCGGCGTGTAACGCGAGCCCGGCCCGCAGCTGGAGCGCGGGCCCGAGTCCAAGTGCGCACGGGAGGGGCCCGGCCGGCCGCAGAGGGCGGCGGCGCGCTCCGGAGCGGGGCCCAGAGGCAGCGGCGGGGACCCGGAGCGCTATTCCTGGAACAAAGGCAAGCACTACGCGGGAGGGGACAGCAGCGCGGGGGAGAGCGCGGCCACTCGAGCGCGGCGAAGGTGAGGGGGGGAGGCGCGGCGGGGCGACGCCCGCGGCCATCTGGGCGGCGGCGACGGGCGCAGCGGACCCTCCCCCGAGCACCCGCCCCCGGGCCCGGGGGGCTCCCGGCCTAGAAGTCCTCGTCCTCCACCCAGCCAAAGACCCGCTTCATCTCGGCCAGGAAGCCCCGGTAATCATTGAGGAGGGGGCTCTCCTTCCTGATGTAGGGGATCACCCACTGCAGGGCCGGCCCGGTGAGGCGGGTGATGAGGAACGTCACCTTCAGGGCATCGCTGGAGAACAGGGTCTCGTCCACTAACATGTAGGCGCCCGTCTGCACGATGAACTCCGGGAGCCGGTCGGTGTCGCCGTCAAACGTCTCGGGGAAGGGAATCGGGTTCCTCCACCGCCGGGTCTGGGGCCGCAGGGGCAGGGCCAGGAGGGCCTTGATCAGCTGCACTCGGCCGTCCATCGCGCCGCGCTCGCGCTCGCGCTCGCTGGGCTCGGCCGGGCTGGGCGGGGCTGGGCTGAGGCGGGCGGGGAGGCGTGGCGGGAAGTGCGTGTGCGCGGAGGCGGGCCCAGGCTTGGGGGCGTGGCCTGTTCAGGCTCCGCCCACGAGCCCGGGTGGTCGCTAGGGCGCAGGCGCAGCACGGGGTAGGCTCCCAAGGGCCACAGCGGACACGGGGAGGGTCAGGTCTAAGGGCCGCTCGGGGAGGCGGGGTCAGAGTAGAGGGGCGGGTCCGAAGGGGCGGGTCCGCTGGCGAGGGGCGGGGAAAGGGGCGTAGCCCAAGACATCTGGCTTTATCTGGCTCAATCTGGATATCTGTCTCTAGTTCGTGTGGGCAGGTCCTGATGCCTGTGGGTCTCAGTGGGCCCCTCTTTTCGGGGCTGAGAAGTCCTTCCCTCTCACCTTTTCTGCCCCTCAGGCCTAGCGTATATTTCTGAACTCCTGCATCTGGACACCACTTGAGGGAGGTTCTTCCAACACAATTTCCTGCTTAATCATGCATTTCTCAGCTAGAGAAGTTTTACACAAGAGGTTGTAAATGTGGTTGCCTTGCAGTATAATGGGAAAGCCCCAAATATTAGCAAACATTATCCAGAACCCCGTATTCAAAGAATGATGCTCTGTGACCAGTTAATGTAAAGAGGGTTTAATGATAAGAAATCTCTTAATTTGGGGTAGGTACCTGGGTGGCTCAGTCGGTGAAGTGTCTGCCTTCGGCTCAGGTCATGATCCCAAGGTCCTGGGATCAAGCCCAATGTTGGACTTCCTGCTCAGCGGGAGCCTGCTTCTCCCTCTCCTCCACTTGTGCTCTCACTATCTGCTTCTACTCTCCCTCTCTCGCTATCTCCGTCGCTATCTCTGTCTCTCTTTCTTTTTCTTTTTTTTTTTTAAAGATTTTATTTATTTGACAGAGAGGGAACACAAGCAGGGGGAGAGGGAGAAGAAGGCTCCCCACTGAGCAGGGATCCCGATGTGGGGCTCGATCCCAGGACCCTGAGATCATGACCCGAGCCAAAGGCAGACGACTGAGCCACCCAGGCGCCCCCTGTCTCTCTTTCAAATAAATAAAGTCTTTAAAAAAAAAAATCCCTTAATTTGGTATATACGAGATCAAAAGAGGATTATCAGTGTAGAAACCAAGAGACAAAAGTGAGATGTATTGAATGCTTTCCAAGCCAAAGAATAAATGAAAGGAATAACAGAGATTAACCTATTTTTAAAAAAGATAAAAAGATATTATTTATTCATTTGAAAGAGAGAGAGCACGAGCAGGGGGGCGAGGCAGAAGGAGAAGAAGGCTCCTAGCTGAGCAGGGAGCCAGGCATGAGGCTCAATCCCAGGACCTGGAGATCATGACCTGAGCCAAAGGCAGATGCTTAACCATCTGAGCCACCAAGGTGCCCTGAGATTAACCTATTGAAGGAGGGGAAACTGTTATGGATTATATCTGAATTCATTTGTACGGCTGAGTACAAAATTAATATAAATTCACCACTAGCTTTCATATGTGGAGAAAATAACATTTAAAATAGGTAGTGTTGTGTTAATGACTCAGTTCAAAAAAGCAATTAAAAAGAAATAATAGTACCTTGGAATATGCTTGAATAATTGTAAAAGCCACTTAAAGAACATTTTTTAAATGCTCAAGAGGGATACAAAAGAATATTCAAGCAGAAATGCATGCCTAGGTCTCATACAGAATAGCACAGCATCTTAAAGATGTTAATTTTCCCTGCATGAGGAAATTTGGACTGAGGTGGCACCACAAGAGGTACAATTGTGGCCTCAGGAGTGTTCAAGAAGGTGGAAGAATTGACCCAGCTGGAACTAGATGAGCTACAGAGCCCGCTGCTGCCCCATACCAAGAAGGGGACAGCCGATTTGCTTACACCTGCTTGAGTTGCAACACTGTCTAGAGCCCCCATGACCTTTCAAGGGCAAAATATCTTTTGAGGACCTAGCTAACCCAGAATTATCCACAAGTAAAAAAAAAAAAAGCCTTTAAAATATACAAAACGACAGTTTTCTGACATTGGATGTCAAGCAGCCAGGGTAGTGTTCCCTAAGAGTGAAACAACACCTCAGGTGAACCGTATGATTGCCTTGGTTTCCCGTTGGGAGCAAACACCCAGGCTGCCTTTTTTATCTGTTTATTTGTGTGTATATGTGTGTGTCTGGGCGGGGGGGGGGGCCGGGGGGGACTGTTTGTTTATACCTGCTGATCTCAAATGGAAAGCAGATGTGAGAAATCCCCAAGTCTCCCATAGTTTTCTCTAGCTTCTTGCCCTGCTGATCTTATTTTCCTATCGAGGGCATTTAATAACACATGCCCCCCCCCCCCCCCGTGTCTTTTTCCCCAGGCCCAGACCCCCACCCCCATCCAGGCCAGGACCTCCTGTTGGCTCTTAGAATGTCTCTGGGGGAGTTAGGGCAGGGTGAACCAACCCTAAGCACTCCCTGGTATGTGGATGATGACAGCTCAGAGAATCTCTAACAGCTGACGGAAGACACTTGGCGGGTGTCCACACAAAATGAACAAAACTTTTTCAAAATTTTTAAAGAGAAAGGAAAAGAATTTTATTCAAGCCCAACTTAGGACAGCTGCCCTTCTTCACAAAGAACAGAGTGCTCTGGGGAAGGAACATTTGGTGCAGGGTTATATGTGGTTTTTTTGTATAAAGAGTTACAAGTCATCAAGAGGAAGGACATTGCAGAAAGTTACAGACTTTATCTTGTTTTCAGTATGCGCAAGCTGTTTGACCTATGGGAACCAGGGAGGGGATTTTTGTTGTTGTTGTTTTTCTTATCTTTATGTTTGGAATGCTCCTTTTTGTTTTTGTTTTGTTGTTGTTTTGTTTGTTTGTTTGTTTGTTTGTTTCAATGAGGCAGACAGACGCTGTGTGCCCAGGGCAGAAATAGAGCCCATGCTCTGAGGTTTTGCCAAGTCATTTTGACCTTGGTAAATGTTAAAGTACAGCTTCCCCCGAGCCCAGGAGCAGGGCCCACATACATTAAAAGTTGCAAATTTCCTTTATCACTGGGCAGCCGGTGGAGCCAGGCATCCAAGCCACATCTGAGCTGTGACAAAGAGTCATTACTGGGTCCCCATCACAAGCTTGGAAAGGCCATCTGTTGCCACCTGTGGCTGTGGCAGTGCTGAAATGGAGTCTTGTCAGTATTAATACCCTGCATGTCACCGGCCATCTGTTCATGTCACCCCTAAGTCCCTTACAAACTGCTCACCACCCAGAAGAGTTTTTCTGAGACTCTGTGGGGAGAGGGACAAGGGACGCACACTGGGGGGACAGGGTACTGTCTGCGGTGAGGCTGAGCATAGCTGGGAAGGAGTGGCTCCCAGCCCCATGGACAACCCATTCCTTAACACAGAGAGGGTAATAACGGGGATATGTAGAAATACAGTTCCAGCTGCCGTGGGAGACCGGGAGGGGAGGTGCGTTGCACTCCGCATGCTGAGGGCCCCCGCCCGCAGAACCGGAGACGTTGCAGCTGGGGCCCCTCTTGACTGGGCGGCAAGAACTGAGCCGCTCACGCCCGCAGCCCAAGATCCTTATGAAATCCCAGGGAGAGGGGCGCCTGGGTGGCTCAGTTGGTGAAGCATCTGCCTTCGGCTCAGGTCATGATCTCAGGGTCCTGGGATCGAGCTCCGCATTGGGCTCCCGGCTCGGCGGGAAGCCTCCTTCTCCCTCTGCCTCTGCCCCATCCCCCTGCTCATGTTCTGTCTCTCTCTCTCTCTCTCTCAAATAAATAAATAAAATCTTAAAGAAAAAAAAAAGGAAATCCCAGGGAGAGACCCGTGCCCCACTGCCCCGGGGGGCGCATCTTCAGGCAGAACAGACGGCCACAGTCTTGCTCGCCCTTCCCCTGGGTGGGGGAGGGGAGGGGTTGACGACAGTGATAAGGCTATTTGAAGAATGTTTGAATCATGGTAAGCTGTGCAGAGGACATGCGATTTTAGTTCATTGGAAATGTTATAAAAGTAGTGGGAAATGTACTGATCTTTTTAAGGGACAATGCCACAAATAATCATCACTGACCTGCCTCTCTGAATCCAGCCCTTACTAAGGCTTTCTAAGGTAGTGTAGTACAATGAGAAATATTTCATATTTTTAAGGGACCAAGATTCTAATACAGGCTTGAGCCAGAATTAACTGCATGCTTGTTTGCTTCCAGTTTTGATTCTCATGACTTCTGGACTGTTCTTGGGCAGAACCAGGCTGGTCACGCTACCTCTGCCTTTTTTTAGCAGGAACAGAAGATGCTCCATTGCCCCCACAGTATCTGAACACGTACTTGCAATCTTCATCAAGTGACCACTTTTCATAGGAATGAGGTGTCAGATTATCTACTACCTTTCTTACCTTAAAAGGGAAGAACTTCAGTTCTGGCCTGGAGCCCCCTCACCCTGCCACCAACATCCCCTCCCTCCCCTCAGACATCAGTGCCTCAAATTACAGAGCTCAGAGCTCTGCTCTGGTATATATCTTTGATGGCAGAACCACACGCTTCCTTGATCACATTTGCATACTTTGCAAATTATAAAAACCTACAAGTGGGAG